ACATTGGTAATGCATTAAAAACAACACGATCTTACAGCGTACGGTGGACGATTGAGCAAAATTTACGCTCGCAACGTGATGAAATAACGGTTTTGACGTAAATTGTTTTACGCATCGGCATGTAAAAAAAAGAAGAAAACAGCAGTGTGCGGATTGACTTTTGCAGAACGGAACGAAAGCCCAACGCTTGGAAACAGTTGTCAACTCATCGCGTTTTCGACAGTGAACGCGCTGCGATAGCGGTCATGCGTACGACAGAGCAAGCAAATATAAAATGGTTAATAAACCGCATTTTTCTCACGGCGAAATATCGTGCAAGCATCGCAATGTGACACAAATCACAGTGCATTATATTCTGCTCTCCCTTTATTTTACAGCACAAACCTTTCAACGCACTTTTACCAAACCGCAAAAATTTCTTGAAGCGACCACAAAACCAGGTAAAACAGTGGCGAGCTCTGCCAGCTGTTTCGTCGTTGGTTAGGCTTAGCAGATTCTCCGCCGTGAGATGAACAATCTCGTGAAAGCACTGGGATTACTTCACATTTTGGCTTTTCCTGTTACGGTCACAAACGAATGTCGTCCCGTCCGTTGTAATCCTCGCACTGTCGAATGCACAAGCACTTTATAGCCGATTTCACGCGCTCTGGAAAGAGCGCTCAAGAGCGCGCAGAAAGAACCACGCGAATTCGCCATAATGCGCTTGAGTGACGCTGCAAGTACCTGCTAACCTGGGCCTGCCAGGCACTCTTTTCCGAGACAATGACTCGTAAGGGACAGCTAGGCCTTATGAGTCTTTCCGCTAAAGAAAACCTAAAAAAAGAGATTTTCTGCCTTGTTACCAGCCTTTCTTACTCCTTCAAGGTTCACGTCTTTGAACAACCTGAGCGCAGCCGTCTTTTGGAATAATTCGGGTGGGCCCGTTGCGGAGCGCTGCAAACGATAATAATAATAACAATAATAACATCTTTATTTCCATCAATCTTGATGGGGGAGCCCGAGAAAAAAAGCTGCGATATGCAGCTTGACTGGTCCTCGGTCCCCTTACAGTGGTCAACGGCAAGCATCGAGAAACAAAGATGAAAATCACATTCAGTAGCAGCTGAAGGTATTGTTAACAGAAAAAGAAAACAAAACAAACAACGTTTTATGAAAATAATGCATCATGTACAAAAATATCCACGCAAGTCTTTGGAAGTCAAGTTTTCAAGGGAAAAATTACTACTGCACAAAGTATTTAAGAAATTTGGAAGAGTAAATTGGAGCATCTGAGAGCCATAGTTGGTTCGCTGAGTACCATCTTCCACTTCTCCGCGTGACGAGTAGAATACACTGGTGAATTTTCCTCCAACAATGCAAGATTTTGTAAGAAACATGTGCCCTTCATTATTTCACTCTTAAAACTGGTACAAAGTCGATATGAATACAATTTGTGAACATCAATTATCCTATAGGTTTCAAATAATTCAGCAGTGTGAAAATCAAAAGGTACATTACCTATACCTCTGAGTATTTTCTTTTGTAGTATGAATAGTTTTTCAATATTAGTTAACGTTGATGTACCCCAAACGAGGTAGCAGTAGGCTAAGTGGGAGTAAAACAAGGAGTTATAAATCAAGAGTTTCACATTTGTTGGCAATATGTAACGGTAGCGATTCACAATCCCTACCACGCGAGCTAGTTTTGGAATAATATAGTTGACATGGCTGATGGGGGTGTGAACCTTTGTTAAAACACAAGGTTTATTAAGAGAGGGAATGAGAAGATGGAAAGGGAATTAACCGGCGCTTTCTGTATACACAAAGCGGCTAACAGATGCGTAAGCATGCCATCCCTTTATCTACTAAACAAAAGAATTGTGTTTCTCGAGGAGTGTGTGTAATGAGCGATAGGAACCTCTATCACCTGCATTTGTTTAGGCGATGGGAATCGACAGTTAGACAATGTTTCGTGTTTCATTAAATCACATGGAAGTTGGCGACTGTTCGTGTTGTACGTGTGTCTTTTATCGTCCTGTTTTCTTCGCGCCTTTTAACCTTTTAATCGACATCAACGAATGGCGCTACTCTGGCTCCCTACGGGAGCCATATACAGTGGCGCTAGGGTGAACCGTAGCGTAGCGCCCACCTTCGTGCCGCGTCCCGCGGACCAGCGTGACGGTGCAATGTTTAGAAAGAACATGGCGACGTAGAAGTAAAGTAAACAGAGACGCGCTGTTTCACAATGCAGTGTAGTTGTATCATCCGCGCTAAGTACTGCTATTCCTAAAAGGCGGGGCTCGCATGATCAAGTTTTATTCGCCGCTCATGACAAGATGACTCATCCAAAACGCGGTGCGTTTTGGGCAGTTATCAAGCGTACGCTTGATAATAGTGGACTACGAAAGAGAAGTAGGAAAGCCAGCCTTATCTGTTCCGACCGCGAAATTCCGTAACAAAAAAAACAAAACAAAATATACTAGCGCAACGTTTTGCCACCCACCAGACACCCTGATAATTTGGCGCAGATTACTGGAAGACATGCTATTGGTTACGTCGAGTTCGTCAATCTGAGCCGTCGAGCAGTGGCTACCGAAGCTTTGGCTCTTCCGAATCCGAAGGTGAACTGCGGCGAGTCTGGCCGCCGGGGACGGACTTGGACGACACCGGAAGGACCGAACGTTCACCATGGAGGGTCAGGATTCGCCGCGGTCTCCGGAGCCGGACTCCCAAGAAGCGACCTCTCCCACGTTGTAAGTCAGCGCTGTGTTTGTCTTCCGTCTTATACTCTGTCCGCGTCCCTGCGTTGTTACCGGTTAAAGGGGTCATGAAACGATTTGTATACTTTCGCTTAAATACTACTTAGAATCACTTCCTAACGTTAATAACTGAATAAACTTGCCTTAGTTTTTCTTTCTAGGCAATAGTAGTCGCCAAAATAATTCGAGAAATGTGAGCATCTTTCATCCCCTCAACTCGGAGCCAGAACAAGTGGTCACGTGGCCTGGTGCCTATCCTATGCCGCCAACGCTAATCATAGCAACGCGCTGGGGTCGGCAAGGTAGAGAACGCGTGCTGAGCTCATTGTTAGAGTTCGGCTATTCTCACCACCGCAGTGGTTGGACACAAACCGCTACCCGAGTGTCCGCTGAGGTATTGATTGTACGAGCCGAAGTCGAGTGCTCACGCAGTTCTCGTGTCCAATCCATGAGCTGCGCTCGGCTGAAAGAAATAGTCCCCCTTTTATCTTCGCGATTTCATCGCGACAAGGAAGCTTCTGAATGAGTCGCGGTCTGTGCGAATATACTTGGGCCGGACGAGGTCCAGTAGGCCTCTTCAAAGTCCAGAACATTCCACTCCATATCATTTCATGACCCCTTTGACAGGAACTACCAACAAGCCTATTCGTCTACGCTACTAGATTTCATTTACTTTTATTGAGCGCGTTTTATCTCCGCATTTGAGAGGGGAGACGAATATAAAATGAACTCCTCGTTGTTTGACGAGTCTCTCTCTCACTCAGAAACCACGGACACAATATTTGTTTCTAAAGCAAAGTGTAAAACACAAAATAACGTAAAACACAACGAAATATAAATGGACTAAAATCATACAACTAGTTCAGTGATTATACATTTAGAGCATAGATGGCGACTCCCAAACATTTAATGACCGTATGTTTTTAGCAGATTCATTCGGAATGTCAATGCTAGGCGCACAAGAACAATTTAAAAGTTGGGGAAGGCTACAGTCCGCAGCAAAGGTTTGCGGGGCACGGGATCGCCAGCCGAAAAGACTGGCTGCACCTTCTGACGGCGTGTTGCCGCTCTCAAAACTTGCGCTTTGCGCATGCGCTTCCTTCAGTGCTGGGAGCCCGCTTTTTTTTTCTTTTTTAGCTCACTTCCGTCCGACGTGTACGAGATGACGAACTGTCCCAAGGTGCCACAAAATGTTATCTGTAGCGCGCGAACTCCGTCACTCATCGCGGTGGTTGAGGCACACGCACGGCATGACAGCTGACAAAGCGACACCTTGCACCGGTCCTGGTTATCTAGTGCGCGTTGGACAGAATCAAATAAGACATCAATGCGAGCACGAAAGGAAGTGTATCCTCGGAGTGTGAACCTTGAGAGCGGCCACCCGCCGTCAGAAGGCGCGACGAGTCATTTCGGCTGGCGCCCCCGCGCCCCTCAAACGTTTGCTGCCGACTGCAGATTAACATCGAACTGCAGTAAGTTGTTCTGTAGTGCGGTACTATCCATGCGTCAGACCTACGAGTTTCATATGCTGGTTCCCTATGCTCCAGCTCAGATTGCATGTAAACAAATCCACTTGAAATTTCTTACATGTTGGAGCCGTTCCGCGGCGCCCGATCGCTTCCCGTGCAACAATATTTGTTTACTAGACCATCTGTTTTTCTATACTACTTTTTAGATAATAAAACCTGTTTGTATCAACAAGAACTTGTTTTTACGGCGATATATACACGCTCGAGGCCTTCATATCGTCGCTAAGCGCGAGGCACGTGGCCCGACTCAATCGCCTCATTGCGGTGACGTCAAGGGAGGAGCGCTCCGGCCTTGACTCTAGGTGGTGTTGCCGGAGGGTTCTTGGATGCTTGAATGTAGCAGGAACGATGGGGAGGCGGAGAGCACTCTTCCCGTGATCACATGGGTTTTTGAGAACAGCGGCAGCCTACAGGGGTGAAGGGCGAGGGGTGCGAGAGATCTTTGTCGTGTGTGAGGAACGAGAGGGAGAGTTGTACCTCGACCCTCTGCTGTAGGGGTTTCTGCTTTAGTACATGAACATTTTTCGCCGGGAGGGGGCACAACAGCTACCGCTGTAAACAGTTGAAATGTACAGGGCGTTTTGGGAATGGGTAACGGGATGAGTTCAAATGCAAAGAGCGTTTTGGTAATGGATTGTACTGTCACAGGTTAAAACGAGAATGGGTTGTTTCGGGCTACACGCGTCCGGTTAGAGCGATCTCGAAACCTGCGTGCGGCATCGCGCTGCTTTTGAATGGACTCTGCGGGAGGTAACCTCCCCGCATGTGACACTGACGTCACCTTCGACAGGCCGAGCGAGCTAGACTACACCTTTAAGACAACGGCGGAAACCACGCCGGGGGAGCTGGAGCAGACGACGCCGGGGGAGCTGGAGCAGACGCTGTATTTTGATGCACTCAACGTTGGCGGAACTATCGATGCCGAGGTAAGCCAGCTTGTTCATACCCATCTGTCAGTGTGAACCGCTGGCCCCCAAGCAGCAGCAACGGTTCGCGGCATGCTGCTAAACACTAGCTGTGTTTTGCTCAGGGCTGCGACGTCGTCCTCTCTTTTCGAGTGCTCGTAAAGGCAGTGAGAACACTGCGGGAATGAGTGCTATCCTGTGTGTCCTTCTGCGATTCTCACGACTGTGTGACGTTTCTATAGGTTTCGAAGGTTTCCGCAGGTGATTGTGGGTGTTCAGTCGCCAAGCTAGTGCATCTTGTGTTTTTTTTGCCGTCATATGTGCTACTCCCTTCTATTCCGTGTTCTGGTCATGCCTGCCTCTTCTCACTGCTGTCTTGCCTCTTGAATTTTCGGTGAGTGGTTTGTTGCAAGCCTCTCGGCCTTTTCTTTGACTTTCCCAATATTGCCCATTGACACATTTGATTCATTTTGTGGTCTTTTAAAAATAAGCGAAGTTTTAAGGCAGCTGTATCTGTCAAAAGGAAGTACAAGCCCTGCTCTTTGCGTTTTGTTGTCCATACAGGCCCAAAATCTAGACGCGTGAAAACCTTTCCTCTGAATAGTCCATTAATATTTGATCTTGTGTTTGGACGTGGTATTCGTCCTTTCCCCGATTGTTTTGGGATTTTGATTACTGAAAATGCGGTACCTCTGTGTTGCACCAACAATCACAATTTGAAAATAAGGTGAACGGAAGATGAATCTATTTTGTGAAATCCTCTAAATTGCAGTGGGTGTGTAAAGCTTTGAACTTGTTTTGGGGTAAGAGTAACATCTTTCTACCACGATTTTGCTGCGTCGGCTATGAAATGCAGTGTAGTAAGGCTCAATTTATTTTAGGTTTTGCATTCATAATGTTAGGATAATTGAGTTCAGGTTTTGCTGCAGTGGTTTCTTTTTGGTATGCAGTTTATTTTTTTAAGGGTACATTGCTACAAGCTGTTAAAGGTTTGCTAAAAGGCGAGTGTTAAGCAAAAATCACTCTTGAGAGACCTGCATGTTGGAATTGAAAATTGCGTTGCCTTTCAGGTGTTAGACACAGTTTTGTCCTGTCCCTTATCCCGGGGAGCTATTTCTTGCAATTAGAATGGAAGATACTGCATTGAACAGAACGGGTCCCTCATACATTTTACTGCGTATCACTTCAATAATTTTGTTGAACATGTACGTGACTCCTTTCTGGAGCAGAGTATGACGGGAGAAAACGCTAAATACTCCACACTAACTTAGAGTAGGCTCAAAACTCGGGTCCAGTTTGTTGTCCTTGCATATCGTAAGGAAGACGAGGTCTTTATGCGGCACTACAATATCGCCATTCCATTTCTCTGACTGGTACGCTCCTCTTCCAGGAGCGCTCCCGTGTTTGTGTAAAGAAGCAGCCAGAGGTGGACGTCCTGCCCGATGCGGTGGAAGGGACTGACGTTTGCACGGCCGCAAACGAGCCCCAGCCCCAGGACTTTGAGGCTGGTCCTGAAATGGCCCAGTTCTCCAAAGAGGAGTCCCTTTCCTTTGCGGCCAGCTTAAAGGACCCGTCGGACCTCGATTTCCTGCCGAAGGTGGCGAGCAGTGGGCGCCTGCAAAAGACTCATATTGGACGCAGGTCCACCTTGCTCAAGTTTGATCCGCTGCTATCGGAGCTTCGTCCAGTCTACCAGAGTTCTGGTAAGTGGCTGTCTCGTCGCTGCTTTGAGGTACGCTGGCCGGTGCAGTTCGTAGGCAAAAAAATAAATAAAACTGTCTTTTTTTTTATTTGTTGGATCAGGGTCGGGCTAAATGTATTTGACGAAAATAATCCCTGGAGAAGGGGAACAAGAGGGACAAAGGACAAATCTCCAAACACAGCTAGGTGACTGGTGCGCGACCGAAAAAATCCGCCTGGTCCGCTGATCGAACCCTTCTCCATTTTCAGTGGAGCGCTCTACCAACTAAGTTAACCAGGGGTTAGCACAGTTGGTAGACATCCGTAGCGCAAAGAGGTTTTATCAGTTGCCACCAGTCTAACACTAACAAGGGTGTTAGAATTATAAAATTACTTTCTTAAAAACTTGCGTACTTTGTTCTAGATTGTAGATCATTATTTTTTTTTATCCTAAGCTCTTGATGTGTTTGTTGTGAGTCTTAGCAATAGATATTTTAGCATGATTGAAGTGCCCTGGACAGGAGGCCCAGCGCAATGCGTTCTGGTAACCACTTAGCCAGTGAGTTTTGCTTTCGATTGGCTACCTTGAACTCATTCAGGACGTCAGGTCGCGACCGAATCTACAGCTTGCATTTGTATTATGCGACTTCCACAAATCTGATGTACTCTAAGTGTTTACGAGCATTACGGAAAAAAAGATTCTGTAACCTTTTTTTTCCTGGTTTCCGCATGTCAGTTTTTGTGCAGATTAAAATACTTTAGTTTTTCCACAAGAGTATCTTTGAGCCCAATATTATTAATCTAATCCAGTACTAGACTAGCGCCTGACAACTGAAGTGTGGTTAGTTCAAGCCTAATAAATGTGGTTTTCCAGCAGTCAGGTTGTTTTGACTAAATATTGATCTACAGACGAGCTTCGCCCATGCTGTACTCGCGGCTGTGCCTGTTGCTGGCGCATAAAACTATAAAGCGCCAAACAATTGCCTGCTACACAGAATGAGCTGCCAAGTGCTCCTCATGTTAACTGTCATCTAACCAAATTTTCTACTGATTGGTAATTATTTACGCACGCTGAGATTAACTGTGACGGAGAATGTGCCAAATGTCAGCGGTTCCTTCATCTCTAAGCCTTCTGGGCAAGCCTTTACGACAGGTATAGTTCAGTGTTGAAACGGCGGCTCTGAAATTCTTGCTCCAAATTCATGCAGTGAGGAAAACATAATATATACCAATTCTTGTATATATTAGCCCCCAGAAAAACTACTAATACTTTGGGTTTTAGTTTATTTGGTGCACAGTCTAGGGGTTTATGCCAGTACGAACGGAATAATGCTTGATCCCTGCTTTCTGACGAATGGTTTGTTTTAGATGTTCCCGTTTTACTGCATGATAAGTCTGGCGTAATAAGCAAATTTGAATGAGCAAAATGCCAGCGAGTACCTACTTTCGTGCAGCACTGTGATGCAGCACAGAAAGAAGGCAAAGTTGTCACTTTCAGCTTCTAAACGATGTTTTGTTTTTCCTCGCATAGGACCTTTCGTCAATGGATGCAGAAACATATAACTAGGGTTCTGTATTTTCGGTATATACCGATAAACACCCGAAAATTAACCCCCGAGGCGGTTTTCTCTGAACCTGTGAAAACCGAAAAACCCAGAAACAAATGTGTCCTTAAAAAAAAAAAAAAAAAAAAAAACCGTTAGCTTTATGGCCAAAAAATGTCTACCGTGCTTTTGTTTTGTGGTCGTACACAGCAGCACTGAACTGTCCCTGGGGTTGTTCCTTTCTATCAAAACCACATTCCTTGCCCCGTTTCATTTTTGTATCTTTACTAGTATTACTGGAGAAAGTACTTATAAGTAATAATATTTTCTCCATAAATTACAGTTGCTGTACAACGCAAGCCCGATAAACTACCGTTTCTCTCCGACATTAACATTAGACACAGAAAAACATCGATTCAAGGGGAGAGAAGTAAACACCGATGAATAGCCCCCCAATTCGAAGAAATATAAATACCGAAAACATGGAACCCTACATGTAACCTTGCTCACCAGCAAAATCAGTGTAAAAAGGCAAGCTTCTTATCTGATCATATCCACTTATTGGACCAAAACAAAATCTTACACAAATAAGATATTTCACTAGGGTGAGGCAAATATGGATATACGCAGTGTCGTGATACCGATATCTGACTCTGCTAAAGAGTAGGAAGTGTCCACAAAGACGTTCTTGTACGACAATTGAGCAGACATGCGCCGATAGAAACACTGTGGTGCGGGCTGGTCGTCCAGCTTGTCCAGATGCCAGAAGGTGGCAAAAAGCGGAGGTAGGTGCTTTATGTGGCTCCATGCTCCCGATATAGTCTCTCCACGTCTTTTTTTTTATGCGTCGACTAAAACCATGCCGTTCCGCTCCTTGTCTAATTGGTTCCCAGTACGTAGCGTGTCCAGTATGGCATGGAGGCATTTAAAACTAGTCTATTGGGTTTTCACTTCTGTTTTAATTTAGCCCATATTCATGCTTCGTGGTAATGATTGGCCACTAAATGTTAGAACCGCCTTCTACATACATGATGGTTTTTCTTTGTTATGCTAGTTTTCTCTTCCGTATGCAGGCGGGTTTGCTTTTTCTTGGCAATGAAATGAAGGATTGTAATGAGATAAATGGCGATTCAAAATGACAACGTAGCGCTATGGCCTATTGAAAATATTGAACATATCCAACAGCTCGACTAAATTTACTTGGATGGTTTTAGATGGAATTGGCATTATGCAAGGCGCTCAGGCAATTGTTTGGGGGATATTCCCCTTTTTATCCAAGCCCTTAAAATGTGAATAAAGTTGTTTCGAAGTTGAGTGGGTTAGATCATAAACTTTTCTACTTTAAAACGATTCTGGCACGGGCCAGAATTTCAAGCTTTCTTTGTTAAATTTATTAAGATAGATGCGTGCTTGGTTGATTCAATTTGCCTAGAGTGTTGAACCACTCGGTCTTATCTAAAATCATCACGGTTAACGGTCTGTCGAATGTGCAGGGTACATACATATTGTAACAAGCAAAAGCAGCCGTAAGATCTGATAGGCTCGTATGTGCTTTCTTGCAACTCTTTCGGCATTTCTACTCACTACTTTTTTAACATTTAACTTGCTTGCAGTGCACCCTATAGAGGAGCAACAGCCCGAGGAGCAACAGCCATCGTACGTTATTGTTTGCTGCTTTCTGAAATCTGCCCCTGTAATATCCCTTCCTCGTTTGGGACAGAAGGAGCTGTGATTTTCCTAATGCAGTGAGGCCTCTTCACTTTTGGCGCTTACGACATTCATCTCAGTCGTACACCTTCGGGAGGTTTCAAGTGGCAGATATGCTGTGTTGGTGCTGATCCAGCTTGTCCAACTTGAGGTGGTGTCTTAACTTGTCAAACATTAGAGGGTTCACTCTATGAATAGTTTTGAAAGCCTCATGGCAAAGGTATCTAAAACTAGCTAATAAGTTTGTATAGTGATTACTGGACAAGTGTAGGGAGTGGGCTGCTAGGCTGGTTGTCTCGATTGCGTTAGCCGCCTAGAGCACGAGATGCTCAGCGTTAACTGCTTTGAACAGTAAATAAACAAAGTGATTACACGCCCCATCTGTACAGTACTCGAAACTATTAGTACTATAATATTATTCCGAGCCTATGTCAGTTCCACAATAAAGGATTGTCGTATCTGTGTCGTGCACTTCCGTACACCGAGAAACTAGATTGGTTCAACTGTTTATGCAATCTGCGTTCTTCAAACAGTGTCAGTTTTCTCAGCTTTCATAGGGAGTTATTTCCTACTTATGGGGGTCCATAAGACGACTCGGTGCATTTCGACATTTTTAAATTTGCAAAGTTTTGTTGCTAAGGGAGGCAATGCAACTGCAAAGGGATTTTGAATTGCTGGCACTTCCTAGAGTCTGTTGGAACTCAAGACGGTAGGGTGAGGGAAAGGAAGGCCGGGGAGGAGGAAGCAGACGAAACGCTGGAGAGTTTCGTCTGCTTCCTCTCCAGCGTTCCGTCAGCTTCCTTCTCCCCGACCTTCCTTTCCCTCACCCTACCTTGAGTTGCAACAGACTATAGTTTATATCCCGGTGGCACACGGCTCACTCCGTACCATTGGTATGGTGCCTAGAAAAACGGATGTGCTTATTGCGTCCTGAAATGTCAATAGATTTCTGCCTGATAACGTCATCAGTGTCATACTATTGCTTGCTGAGATCTTAGTGGTGGCATAGCAGTGAAGCTGGATGCGGTTGACGCTTGGTCTGCTGTAACTCTGTTTGGGTTCGACGTTTAGAAATGTCGGCAGTCATGAGTTGCGTCGCCTCAATGACAGCAACACTTCCGTTCTCGGATACTTTTTGCCAGAGCCTCAACGAGCAATCGCCAGGATTGGTATCCAACGGCGTGATATGCCTGCTCCTGTGGTGTAACTTGTTGGCGATGCGGGACCACTTTCGATGGGTGGGCGCTATAGGACGCTTTACACAGCAGTCAAGATGCGATATAGGCACCGTAGCATCGCTGTTTTTATGAGATACTTCGTCTGTCCTTTTTTTTAGCGTCACTTGTATCTTTTTGTTTGTTTTTCCGTTGTTCAGCTTGATGGAACTTGGAGGTTTTTCCTACTGATCCGTACTTGTTTTGTACTACCATTTCTTTGCTGCTGCATACAACTTGCAGTGCCTTGAACTCCAGTACTGACAGCGGTGAGAGGCTCATTGACTTGACGGATTCACCGATGAAGGTAGGTGTTCTCGAGCTACGAGAAAACTTTCGAGCTTGAATGTTTATTATTGGTTGTGGATTTTGTTTCCATCTATGCTAAGATTCAGTCTCGCACATGCGTTTCTTAGCTTGCCTGGCTTTTGAAATTAACGGTTCATGTTATAATTTCAGTATTTTGGGTATGTTGAAGTGAAATGTTTAGATAAAATTTATAACAAAATACCCGAAGAAACTCCCTGAAAAGTTTCAGAAATCGAGCGAACAGCGAGTTTCAGAAATATATTTCACCAGATTTCTGGTCTCGCCAGAAATTTGGTGAAAAAAAGGCATGGATATAATGGATAATGGATAGAAAGTTAAAAAGAAAAATGCCGCTAATTATATTATGGATTTGGATTTATCCGAATAGCTTAATTTTATATGCAAAAATAGTTTGGCACCCTCCAATTTTTCTTACAAATAAATTTAGAAGATGGGGAACCCTGGGCTACCTTTAAATCTTCAAGACAAGAATATAAAAATACTTCACAGGATTTTTTTAATGGGAAAAGGAAAGCCGAAGAACATCCAGGAAGCATTTTCAAGTTACTCAGCAGTTGCACAATGCATACCAAAGCTGTTTGTTTTCCTCTTTTGTTAGAGAGGGTCTAGAAAAAAAACATGGAGGCACAGAGAGGGTCATGTAGAATTGGAAGCCCTGAAAGAAAGGGGTAGCGGGTTTTTGTTTTCCCTTGTATCCGTGTAAACGCTGGCATATTTTGACCAATAAGGGCTCTTCCGGGGGAATAGGCTTTTGATGTGTAGTTTGCACGATCTGTAAAACTTGACGGTAGTTGATTCTATGGACATGTGCACTTGCTTCTTTTGTATATTAGGTAGCAGGTTCTTTGTTTCGAGCACTGTTGCTTTTATTGCTTCGTTTAATCATTACATACATTGGCCATATGCCAATATGGACCCCCGTTAGAAATGTGTTGTACAGTATGTTTAATTAAGCATTTCATTATTACACAACTTCAACTGTTCGCTGGTTACTTAAAGAAAAGCTGAAACAGTTCTTGAAAAAAAAAAAAAAAAACGGGTTGGAGGTGAGTTCTGGCGTATTTTTATCCCGTGAATCTGAACATCATCTGAATATCACGTTCGTTTTCATCAAAGATGTAGATAAACATGATAAAACACGGAAAACATCCGACCAGTTGTGACGTCATACTAGGATCTTTGGGGCGCCAAGCGCGTGTTGCTCGCGTGGGCAGCGCGTGCAATTGCTAGCTTGCCAGATATATTTTCCCGCACTTACGCCAGTCGTGACGTCTCTTTCTGACCTTTCTGAAAATAGCAAGAGTGCTCGTGCATAGCTTTGACTGGCCCTGAAGGTGCGCGAGAGCAGGGATTCCGAAAACTCCTAGTATAACGTCACGCCCCGTGAAGGAGGGGCTTCAGCGCTACTTTGAGAATAAAAATTTCTGCAGCCTCCGTGCACCAAATTGAAAAATAATGTCGATGTTCGTGATCCTGGAGGCCAAATGAAAACGATTTAGGCGTTTTTGCACAAATACAAAACCGCTTCAGTTTCCCTTTAGCTTTTCTGCTCATCGGGGACTTGAGGTTGGCCTAGTCAGTCAGTTTTTAGGCGCTACTCGGTTTAGAATTTTTCCTCTATTCCAAACGCGGAAATTCATTAGTAGAGAAGAAACTGAAGCTGCAGTAAGCTATTGGATTTTCCCTTTCAGTTTGCTTGTGAAATTCTTTGACCTGCTTGATGTTCCTGGCTCTGGTGCACACCATCTGCGCGTTTCCCTTTTGCGTTTTTATGCGACAAAGCGACAATAATATACGTGCTGCTTGGAGGAATTCAAGATTTTGTATTATTGAATTTTCTCATAACTGATAGTCAAACTCTGTTATAACGAAGTCAACGGGTATCTAAAGTATGTTCGTTATATCCGAAATTCAATAATCTCGCGTTTAAAGAAATTGAGGCTGGTTTTTTTGGGGTTTACTTTTTCCTCAGATTCGGCGTTTGGGTCAATTTCCAGTGTCGTACATAATCCCAAGCAATGTAGCCCAGGAACCTAGTTGCGCGATCTATCAGTAGGCACTTGTACATTCCAAAAATTTCAATGGGAAAATTGGTATTCTTTAAATAAAATGAAGCCTAGCCCATCGCTATGAAACCGAATTCAGATACTCTTTATAGTCTCTGAAACCTCGTTAATGCAAAAAAGAAGGCCCCAAGGAATAGCGGAAGGTCATACCAAGGACGTTTGAAATTCGGCAACTTTTTTATGTGAAAAGACGCAAACGAGACGTGGCTTTATATATATAATTTTACGCTCTCGTGATTCCTCGAAGAAAGTACCACTTGATTTAGAAAGCCGGGACTATGGGCTCGCTTTTTTAATCAGGGGAGTAAACGGTAGTAGCGGAAAGAATTTTCTGGGCATATTTTTCGCAACGCACCTACTTACGTGATCCCCAACACCTGCACACAGACTTGTAGCTCTCGTTTTGCCGAGCATTGCAGCGAAGCCCCTGCAGCTCACTGGTTGGCGCGTCGGGTTCTCGCACTCCTGCCCTGGATTCGAATCCTGTCATTGCGTTTTATTTTTTTTTACTCTTTATTATTGCTTTATTACCGGGGCACACTGAGGTTTATTACCGGGGGTAAAAAAAAAAGAAAATGAACAGTAACAATACCCGTTCACAACACTAATACAGTAAGCTATACACGTCACAGAGCCAAAGACAAAACTGTGAGGGCAACCTAGCAGATTGTTTTCTAGGCTGCTTTTGCAGTTCTTGCTATAAGTTGTCCTTGATAGCCTTTTATGAGTGGTGCATCCTTATCTGTCATTGTTATCTGATTATGATTCCTTGTAGAATCCTATATTTAGCGCTTCTGCTGGTTTAATTTCGTTTATTTCTTGTGATGAGCGGTATAAATGACTAGCGGCATACAGGGCCGAATCAGGTGGCGTTAGTTCCCAAGACAAACTCTGCGTAAACAATATTAATAATAACAAAAATCTACAGCATCTCCCTGAACCATAGTCCGCGCCGTGCGTATATTTTGAATAGAAAGGGGGACATCACCGCCTGCTGCGATTGGCCAGCTCGGCACCCCTGACCAATCGCAGCAGACGGCAATGCCCCGGTCCCTTGGTCCCGCTGTGTAGATTAGGGCCCCTAGATCTCAGCTTGGCAGCCCATGTTGCCAGTCATTGAAGCGTTGGCTCTTGGCATCAAAATCCAAACTGGGGCTCTAATCTGGACACTTTGCCAAAAACGTCTGCGAGGAATTCGACTGCCCTGAGTGGCCGGCGCCAAGGTCAAACCCTTTGCCGGCCAATCACCGCCGCCGGATTCCTTGCAGACTTTTTCGCCAAGTGTCCAGATTATTAGCCCCTGGATGTGCGTGGTTGGCGTGGTGCAAACCAAAAAAATCTGACTGACCGAGCAACCACAAGAACCCTTCTTCGGCACGCCCCGGCTTGCCTCTGCACGCGCGCTCTCCCACTCTTCGTTGCAACCTTGCAATACTTAACGATGCGACGGGGCCGGACGCGTCACCGGCAAAGCAGTATAAATTTTCCCACAGAAAGCGGGCCAATATGTCGCCCGGAGCTGCGGAGAACTGCAGCATCTGTAAATGTCTTTTTTTTTTTCTTCGTGGAGCCTTGACGTTCTGGTTTATAACCAATTTCGTTTAATGTTTTTTTTTTTTTTTTTTTTTTTTTGCTGGTTTGGGAAGAACTTTTGTTGCATCTGGGACCCCGCTTTGCTGCAAAGCACAGCTCCCACAAATGATCGGTCTTACAAAATGGCTTCGAGGTGTTGACTAATGGATGAGGGCACCAAACTGCATATCCGCGAAGTTAATTCTCTCTTGGGACTTGACGTGCGAATTGTGTTTACTTTCTGGATATGCCTTGTGCAAGGCTTATTGGTTTCTCCTCAGATGTTATTGCTCAAATCTTGTTTTTATGGCACTCGTAATTCACCAATAAAACTGCCAGACGCTTGATCACTTACTTTTACTGAAACCTGTTGCTGCATTAACAGTAATGTCTTTTTTTAGCTGCTTTTTAATAACCAGATAGTCGCATATCTTGCTTTGTGTTAACCATATGCACTGGGTATGCCGTTCATGCTGGCCCCCACAAAATTTGTGGAAGTAACTGCCTTGCATATATTGCTCTGTTTTGTGATGCTTTTTTTTTTTTTAATTCAGTTCATGACACCCTAAGGATTGACAATATTGTCCACGCAAAGCTCGCTGATCACTGAGTAACTGAAGTCTTTAAACTGCTTACTGTATTAGGGGACCTAAGATGGTGTGGAACATACGGCATCCTTTGCATTTTGAGATCGAGTGTCCTGTCAAGTTTGGAATCTTCTGTAAAATTGGCACAATACACGACCAAAGTGTGTGCTTCGCATCAGGCGTCCCGTTCGCCTCAACATCAATATGTGTGGCCTTGTGCCGTTTCACCTTTATGGCTTCACTGCTATGAAGCGCCTAATATGTCGCATGGCTGGGGTATGTTCCAGTTTACGAGGGTTGCATGCTGCCTGTTGCAGGAACCGGTGTTTTCTCAGAAGGAGATGACGCAGGCGCTCAAGTGCCAGGAACAGCTGTTCCAAGAGCGCCTGCTCAATAAGGACCAGGACTACATGAATGAACAGGACAAGCTACGAGAGGAGGTTGAGGCTTGGCGGGCAAAATTCGAACACTTGGGTTGGCTATATCAGCTGCAGGAAAGCACTATGATGGTGCTCAAGAGGCAAGTTCTGGCTTCCATGCTCAGTTGTAGAGTAACGAGTATTTCTGCTACTTCTCAAATGTGTCATGTGAGGGAGGTCTCTCACATCTTGCCGCAAATTTCACACTTTCCGGGAATACCAAGGAAGCGCCCGACCGCCTACCACCACCTATACTCCGTTCCACCTTACGATGTATCACGATAGACGCTACGCTAAACGAGCCAATGTATAGTCGCAGCTTGTCTCGTGACTTCGCGTTTCCCTTATCGCTCTGCCCAACCGGAAGTACGTGTCACACTCGGAGATAGGAATTCACTTCCTTGGCTTGTAGCGTCCTTAGCGGCCCATCGTAAGATGAAATGAGGTATAAATAAGAGGCGTGATGACTCACCCCTTGCCCTCTTCTATACGTTTCAGACATTTCTAATAAACAGTTGGGGGGGAAGGGGAGGACAGTCTCCTTCGCCTACCGAAGCCTGTCAGATGGCAGCGTAAAGCCTGTTTCGCGAAAGCAAGGCAGGATAGGTTCAGCTTAAAAGTCTGCTCTCTGTAAAACTGCTTCTCTGTATCGATTTGGAGCGTTTCTGTGCATAGGATCACTTCTACGCTAATGAGGGTTTGGTATCTACTCGGGTGCTGTCCTCTCGGTGCCAACCGCCTACCTTCTATGTGGGTGCAATGGTGGGCTAATGCTAGCACCATGGCGAGTGTTAATAACTGCACTTCCCACAAACTTCACAAATTTAGACATCGGAAGGTTTGTTTTCGAACCTCGAGGGGTTCTAGACGCCTTTAGCCTTGGCGCAGAGGTAAGTGTGTCCTCGTGGCTGAGTTTATAAACTGCACATAAGCTGCCTCTTCACGAGTGAGGATGAAGTGAGTGTTCAAGTTGCATTCATATTAAAAATAGCGCAAAAGAGACGGGACAAAAAAACGAAGCACACAGGACGAGCGCTAACTGGCAACTAAACTTTATTGAAAGCTTCCAACTTTGCTATCGCCATGCACGCGCTTAGTCTCGTATCAACAGAAACAGGACGTACCGCCAAATCCGCACATTCATACCGCCCACCGCCTGTTCCAAAAAGTCAGCAAAACGGCTACATCACCCCGCCGCACAAGAATAGAAAAAAACGCCGCGTTAATATTATCAAGTTAGATAGTGATAATGAAACTGTACTCTTTAGGCTGCATATACACCAATGCGACGCTTATGCAAACGTCTTTGTCACAAGCATGTATTTTTGCCGCCTCCAGCAACTCTCGTTCCCTCCTTCCTTTGTTACGTCCCTCCACCTGCGCACCGTCCAGAGTGGGGGATCAACCACAAGTTTTACAATGCCCCGGTAAGTGGGAACTGTAATTGTTGCCAAGAGAAGCCGCATGCACTCGAAGTCGATCATTTAAGCAACGTCCCGTCTGCCCTATGTAAACAAGACCAGACGTTAAAGAAATCCTGTAACCCACCCCAGTGGCACAAGGCACAAACTTTGTCGCGTGTTTCTTGCTACAAACAGGTTTCTTCACTTTCGGCCCGCTCACCATAGCGCACAATTTTGACAATCTGCACGGGGCAGTGAAGACAGCGTCCACGTCGAACTTTGATGCTATCCTTTTGAAATTGTGCGACACCTTATGAATGTAAGGTAGCACTACAAAATTCTTTGGTTTCCTCTTAGGTACAACGGAAGAGCATTTCAACTTCTTTAGAAGGGATTCCGCAACTCCCTCTATCAAAACCGAGGGAAACACAGAGTGTTCCAAGCGAAGTGTCTGGAGGTCAAAACTCTCACTAACTACATGCGGACAGGACTTCAACAGAGCCGACCGGAGGCAGAGCGAGGCGATGCCCCTCTTTATCAATTTAGAGTGGGCTGAGTCAAAAGCTAAAAGGGCCTTTTTTGTACGTGGCCTGTACATCCAGCACACATTGTCAAGGGAGTTAAAAGACAACCGGACATCTAAAAACTGTAAAAACCTTCCAACGGAAGTTCGTAGGTGAAATGTAAATGCTTAGATTTGCTAAATGCTTAGATTTTTAGCAAATCTTCTAAGCATTTACATTTCACCTACAAACTTCCGTTGGAAGGTTTTTACAGTTTTTAGATGTCCGGTTGTCTTTTAACTCCCTTGACCATGTGTGCTGGATGTACAGGCCACGCACAGAAAAGGCCCTTTTAGCTTTTGACTCAGCCCACTCTAAATTGATAAAGAGGGGCATCGCCTCGCTCTGCCTCCGGTCGGCTCTGTTGAAGTCCTGTCCGCATGTAGTTAGTGAGAGTTTTGACCTCCAGACACTTCGCTTGGAACACTTTGTGTTTCCCTCGGTTTTGATAGAGGGAGTTGCGGAATCCCTTCTAAAGAAGTTGAAATGCTCTTCCGTTGTACCTAAGAGGAAACCAAAGAATTTTGTAGTGCTACCTTACATTCATAAGGTGTCGCACAATCTCAAAAGGATAGCATCAAAGTTCGACGTGGACGTTGTCTTCACTGCCCCGTGCTGATTGTCAAAATTGTGCGCTATGGTGAGCGGGCCGAAAGTGAAGAAACCTGTTTGTAGCAAGAAACACGTGACAAAGTTTGTGCCTTGTGCCACTGAGGTGGTTTACAGGATTTCTTTAACGTCTGGTTTTGTTTACATAAGGCAGACGGGACGTTGCTTAAATGATCGACTTCGAGAGCATGCGGCTTCTCTTGGCAACAATTACGGTTCCCACTTACCGGGGCATTGTAAAACTTGTGGTTGTTCACCCACGCTGGACGGTGCGCAGGTGGAGGGACGTAACAAAGGAAGGAGGGAACGAGAGTTGCTGGAGGCAGCAAAAATACATGTTTGTGACAAAGGCGTTTGCATAAGCGTCGCATCGGTGTATATGCAGCCTAAAGAGTACAGTTTCATTAACACTATCTAACTTGATAATATTAACGCGGCGTTTTTTCTATTCCTTTTCTCGTTCGGATTCTGCGGCGGGGTAATGTAGCTGTTTTGCTGACTTTTTGGAACAGGCGGTGGGCGTTATGAATGTGCGGATTCGGCGGTACGTCCTGTTTCTGTTGATACGAGACTAAGCGCGTGCATGGCGATAGCAAAGTTGGAAGCTTTCAATAAAGTTTAGTTTCCAGTGAGCGCTTGTCCTGTGTGCTTCGTCTTTTTGTCCCGTCTCTTTTGCGCTATTTTTATTATGAATGTCCACTACCAACTTGCCCAGAAGACCAAGCTTTTTCAAGTTGCACATTGCCCGTGTCCCCACCTTTGGAGGCCCAACTTAATCTGCCAATTCTCAGTGTGTTTCCCAATGCCGTAGTTTTGCATGAGAATGACTGTTACAATGTTTGAATGCAGCCATATTGAGCAGATTGTGTCTACCATGGAGCACCACGTACTCGGAAAGAAAGACGCAGAGGAGAAGATTGCTTTACTCCTGAAGATTACTGAAGAGCGTGATAAGGTGCGTGTCCCTGGGGAATTGTCTTCTTTTACTAAATTTTGATACTGGAAGTCTTCTTGAAAATCGCCAGTCCTGAGAATTTCGGCTCGCGTTATCGTTTGAAATATGAAACCTGCCAGATCAGCTCAGTTGACTTGGTAATACAAAACCACATATATAATACTAGTTCCCAGGGAATACACCTTTCCAAAATTCAGTATAGCTACTTTGATCACTATCGTAATAATCTGAGGTTATGCATCTGTGCCGTACTAATAGAGCCCTTCTGGTGGCTGATGAAGGAAAGAGTCGAAGATGCTCCCAAGCGGAGTCTACAGATATAAGACGTTGATACAACCCGACGCAAGTGCTGCGCCCGCACTTGCTTCGGGCTCTGGTCGAATGAATATTTTGACGCAAGGTTGACTTAAGCATTTAGATCACGGGAATTTTATCAAGGGGTTCAGGGGTCGGCGCTTCGTGCTGGTAAATGTTTTTCAATCGCGCCATCGAAATTGAAGCAAACCAACAAAGAACTACAAGGTGTGAACAGCCCATTCTCATCTGCCATTGACGTAGGAAAGTGATAATGCCCGTTGAAGTAATTTTCATGACCGCCATTAGTGCGGCGAAAGTTATACTGTCTGAGCCACCAGATAGTACTGAATATTCAAAAAAAGGGTCTATAGGTCCGTAACTCAAGTTTTGGACAGCGCTCGAATGCGAGCAAAATAGAATATATTTGTGGCTGGCATTTCGAAAATGTGCCATTACGCTTCCCCACTAGTTCTTTTTTTTTTATTGCTCCGTTGCATTATAAGTGCCAGCGTTGCAGAGGCTAGAAGAGCGAGCTCCGAGCTTTCAGTGTCCCTGCCGAGCACGCGCACTCGTGCAGTGTGAGCATCGTTCAGCTGAACATGCTTTTGCAAGCAGCTTCGACTTCGCTATCACGCAAAGTGAAACATCGCGCTCACGGAGGTAAAGAAAGCAATACAAATAATAAAGCTGAAAGGAATGTTTAATGGGGTGCTGAGGCCGTGAGCTGCATAATTTTTTTATTTTCTAGTCGTTTTATCATCGCACATTTACAGATGCTGTCAGGTGCTTGTATTCGAACGTGGCACGTGCATAAGCGGACGTTACAGTGCCGCTTTTATGGTTTTATCGCGTGGATAGAGCAGGCCAGCATAGGATGGTAGCGTTTCGCGGTCGCGCGCGCGCCTCCTGCCCGAGAGCAACGGGTCTATTAGGACGACAATGTTGCATGGATCATTTCAGAGCCGTAAATGTAGAGAGTTTGGCCATTCGTTGGGAAGTATAGGAGACAAATGAGGAGGCGCCATTGGCCGAAAGCGGGCTGGGCGTGTTCCAGGGCGTCTTCAGAAATTCGAATGTGACCAACCAGAAGCCGGAAATAATACCCTGGCGGTACTCGCGAGAAACAAACCTGATAACTGCATTGGAGTAACTCTCAATGGCTGAAAATATGGTACACGTGATGTTTCAATCACGTTAATCCAAAATGATGGTGGAAGAGTGCGACTAGCGGAACGATCGACATGATTCGTACGCCAAGCGCCCAGGGCCGGGAATCTGCCGTCCGAACGTCCGTGCAAAACAGAGTTGCGCGGTGCATTCGTTTCTTACATCTTTCTGCATGATCATGATCAAGCAACACGCGCACCCTATTTTCAACCACAAAGAGTTACTACACTTCACTCTTACGCGTGTATTAAAACCATATACGAACATAGACTTTTGATCAGAACTGTTTGCCGCTACCACCGCTAGGGGATTCTTTTCGGCTTCTGGTTGGTCAAGAGAGCATGCCAAGCCCTCTTTCCGACTCTGCCACACGCCCTGACTCTGCCCGCGCCTCCCATTGACCAAACTCTCTCAATACACGGCTCTGGATCATTTGTACCCGTCCAGACGCTCGAGTATTGTTCAATTGTCTTTTTAGAATGCGTTTTTTTTTTCTGTGTTTGGTTTTTACTTGAATTTTGGATTTAGGATGTCAGTGCGCGACACTATTAAGGCTCCTTTCGAAAGCAAAAGTAGGTTAGAGTCACGGTATCTCATGGAACGACAAGTTCAGCCGATCGGTGCACAATATACATTATAATGCAATTAAATGCAAAGGGGCAAGCGAGCTGGACAATAATGATGAAAATAATTTTAGTTATTTTAGTAAGTTATTTTCATCATTATTGTCCAGCTCGCTTGCCCCTTTGCATTTAATTGCATTATAATTATAACATTAAATTGCAAGCTTCACCCTTGTTGGTGTTAGACTGGTGGCAGCTGATAAAACCCGTTTGCTCTACTGACGTCTAACCCCTGGTTAGCTCAGTTGGTAGGGCGCTCCACTTGTAATGGAGAGGTCCCGGGTTCGATACCCGGACCAGGCGGATTTTTTCGGTCGCTCACCAGTCACCTAGCTGTGTTTGGAGATTTATGTTTGTCCCTTGTCCCCCTTGTTCCCCTTCTCCAGGGATTATTTTCAGCACAATATACCTTTTTTTCCGAATTACCCAAGCATCAAAAAGCATGCCGGGAACTTGGGTACACGCGCTACGCCCGCTGGTGATTCGAGAATTGTTTATTTTAGTTGGTTCTGCTATGCACGCTTCACGCGGACTACACTCCAAGCTCGGTAACCATAGGTGCAGTGTTTCAGTCGTTACCGCAAAGAAGTAGCGAAATATGTTACGCGTTACTTGCAAAATAAAGGAACGCGTTGCCGACCTGCGTTACCTCAAAACAAAAGGAACGCGTTCCGTTAACGATAAAACTTAACGCACTTTTGCGTTAATTTTTATTTATAAATTGACGCTAACGGGCTTCCCTTCTTTTTTTTTTTTTGCGACAGTGTTTTTTGATATTGGGACAAAGGGCGTACGTGGGCGTCGGGGTTCTTCTAAAGTGAGACTTTGCGTGGGAAAAAGACGAGCAAATTTTTGGAGGTATGTGGAATGAGTACAGTAATGAATGACTTGGCGCCTATACTCCGTTTCAGCTTAAGTCCAGGCGCAGCTGGCACTGCGAGCTAATGGGACCAATCAAGCAGACTCAAAAGCGCAAGTCACTGAGCATCGAGAGGGTGCTGGAATTTCGTTACGTAGTGGACTGCATGACACATCACGATGTCTTCCTCACGGGTATACATAAGGCACTCCGGGTGCGAGTTCTCCCGACATCCATCATAAACCGAAATCTTCTCGATTGCCGCTTATAAATGTGAGGGCCGGTAAAGAGGACCTGGCCTGGCACTTCTACCTGAAAAATGAACACAAAGTTTTCAGCAAGCGTGTGTGTGGCGTCTAAATATTAAGTACGTGTTAAACATTCATAAAGTGGCACCCGCGACACACGATTATAAGTTCGGAATGGTGCCGCTCGTGGCACATGTAAAATACAAGCATTTCTAGAGTAAGAGCGGGCAGGGGGGTTACTCCATAAATTCATGAATCAATATTTCTCCTTTCTCGAAGTAAAATGGATCATTCTTTATTAATATGTAACAACTACCGAGCAGTACTCTTCAACCAAGCAGTTAAAAAAAAAGAGTATATTTATACCAAGAAAAGCTGTAATTAAACCGTTGTCGCTCACAAACCCCCTCGCGTCATATTCTTGATTTATGGTTGTTAAGAGAAAGACCAAAAACGTGAAAGTAAGGTCTTATAATAACCCAAGACAAATCAATTGACCCAGCCTACGCAACCATCTATCGTACACGTCATATTTACAAGCGCAAGTCACAAGCAGACTGGAATACTCTTCACACACACACACACATCGCGGTTTCGGTGTCAGTTCAGTTCACCTGCGTTTGTTTTTAAGAGGTCCACTTCTCATTGTCGGTGAAATACTTTAAAGTCGTGCCTGAAAATAATAAAGAAAAAACCTACACGAAACAAGTTTAAAATAAGTCCAAAAGCCAAGGGTTCACGGATAAGGAGCAGTGGACCTTTTAGGAACAAACACCGGTGAATTGATGCCGAATCCGCGATATGCTTAAAGTGTATTCCAGTTTACTTGTGATTTGCGCTCGTAAATATTATGGTGTATACAGTAGATGATCGCGTAGGCTGGATCGATTAATTTGCCTTGGCTTAGCATAAGACCTTACTTCCACGCTTCTAGTCTTTCTCTTAATAACCTTAAATCAAGAATATGACGAGAGGTCGTGTAAGAGAACAGTTTAATTCCAGTCTTTCTTGGTAAAAATATACACTCGTTCTGAGGAATTGCTTGGTTCAAGAGTACTGCTCGGTAGTTGCTACATATTAATCATCAATTTTACTTCAAAAAAGGAGAAATATTGCATCATGAATTTATGCGGTGGCCACTCTTGCCCTAGAAATGCTTGTATTTTACACGTGTGACGGTAGCGGTACCATTCCACTTTTATAATCGTGTGTAGGGGTGCCAACTTATGAATGTTCAACATGTACTTAATATTTATAAGCCCCACACTCTTGCTGAAAACTTCTTTGTGTCAATTTTCGGGTAGAAGTGCCAGGCCAGATCCTCTTAACCGGCCCTCACTTTCATAGCCGGCAACCGAGAAGATTTCGGTTCATGAGGGAAGGTGGGGAGAACTCGCACATGAGTGCTTTATGTATCAGTGAGGTAGGCATCGTGTCATGCAGTCTAATATGTCGCAAACTTCCAGCACCCTCTAGATGCTCAGCTATTGATTCTGCCTCAAGAGCTGTTTTGTTCAAAGTGCAATGCCCCCGCATAATTGGTGAACAAAAAACCGAAGGACCTGTTGTGCGATCCTTCGGTTTGTGTTGCTTCAGTGTTGCGTAGAATAAATTCTTCTTGCTCTAGCAAAGCAAATTCCGTAGAGCGTTTGTTTTCTGAACCCGAATTGGGATTTTGTTCACCGGGTACGGATGCAGGGTGTGGATTAGAGTCCGGGAAATGCGGTATGAATTCATCATCAGTTGTTTCAAAACGTCTGAGCATTCAAATCATGTACAGGCAAAGTAATTCCTCCTAAGTTGCATTATACAATCATTTACTCTGAGATACTCTTTATGGTGAATACATACCACTTAGTACTTTAGTTTTAAGACTAGGACAATATACTTTGTGTTCTAGATGTTACTAAGCATGCCTTTAAATCATCAGCAAGTTGAGAAAAATATTACTACTTTTCTGTATAGAGCTTTCATTGTACATAGGTCTGAGGGTAAACATTGCCACACAAACTTGCACACCCAGCAGCGTGCTTCCATCCTTAAAAGATCTCTGCCAGTTAATTCCAAGAAGTGAATGTCTCATGCTGGTCATTTGAAAGGGTACTAGCCAAAGTCATTGGCACGCACCCAATAAGGGAAATTTTCATCTAGACAGCTTGCCGGTGCGGCTTACCTGTCTGCTTGCCGATGGGGCTGAAAAGCAATACACTTTTCGTTGGGCCTAGTTGGGTCATATAATTTAAAAGGTTAAAAGGCCTGTCCTGGTACGTGTTTCTTGTTTTGTCTGTGTTTCAGTTCGCTCCTTTGACCTTTTAAATTTCTCCTTTAAATTGAATGAAAAGGGTGATTTGACAGAAGGGGGGAAGAGCCGCACACTGCTTCGTCAGCTTTTGTTTTGTTCTAGTAACATCTTTAGTGCTCAGTATTGAGTTATGAGAGCAAAGAAGCAATGGATCTGAGAACAGGGACATTTTTTCACTCTGCCCGGTTAAGTCTTTTTTTAATGCTTCCTTGGGGGTAATAAAAAATGTGCTTTCATCGGATGTATAGTGACAAAGGAAATTTCAAGTTTAAACCAAAAACTTGGTATTAAGGTTTTTTTTCACGCAACCCCGGGAGTCCATAAAATTAAAATCGCGATTTATATTGTTAATTTAAATCGTCGTTTCAATCTTTATGCTTTTTTCTATCCAGGATTTCCGGGACTTGTCATAACACATTCCTGTTTTGACAGGTCCGGGAAACTGGTCAACACATAAATGCGATTCAATAGCTCTGTTCTGAGCTGTATAGTTGAGAAATCTCAACAGCAAGTTCCTCAAGAAGTTGGCTAAAGTACGTTTTTCTTGTGCAGTTGGCAGAAGATTTACGCTACACGGAAATCGCTTTTGCGAGCTTATACCGACGCAACGAGAATGCCAAGCAAGCAATCACTATGTTGAAGAAGGTATGCAACAAGTGTTCCAATTCACTTAACAAGTGTTCTAATTCACTTTTCATGTCTGTTGCTGCATCCGGTGCAACTTAATTGTAGACATGGCATATCTATTCATCACTGCACAATCCAATGTTCTCGTAGTTCGAGTCAACACTGAAGCAGCAACTGGCGGAGTTCCCGGAAAGAATCCAGAGAAGCAACCAGATGCTCCACCTGCTTGGAGCCAAGACGGTGGAGAGTCCTGAAGTGTATGAATTCCCTGCTTATTTACTTTTTGAATGGAGAGTAAAGTATACATTTTTGCATTAGACAGTCTAGGGCAGGCAGAGAGCTGGCGTTTTGGGAAAGGGCAAATATGCTGAAGGTAGCTAACCTCCGTTCATCTTTCCGAGCCAGTGTTTTATGGCGCTTTAATTTTGAAATTTACGAACTAGCATATCTGCTAATGAGATACCGCTATTGCCTGGAGCCAAATCACGGGTAAAATACGTGCGTTGAGATTTATGTTTTAACCATTACGTTATGAGGATATGTAGCTTTTAAAGCCTTTTGATACTTTAATTTGTCATTTTGATTGTTGCACCGGGAGTTTGGTTATGCGTTCTAGTGTCTTATATCTGCCCTAAATATTTATTAATCTTGGTTCTGCTTCAGGGATAGCGAAGAGTTTGAGGACTGAGAGGCCAGATGAAGAAAGCAGAGGTCGACAAAAGATCTCTGGTGACTCCACTTGAACAAGAGGTGGGTGTGACAGGACAATGATTTGAAGATGTCGATTTGCACCAAGTGTGTCGCCTAACTGTTGTGCCCCTTTGGAGACAGAAAAATGCTCAGCTGGCCAAGCTGCGCGATCACCTGCTCAACCAAGTAAAAGCGAAGTAGAACTTCTGGCAGGAAGTTCTTGTGCTATATATTGCGCTTTTTTATATAGATTTAAGTACTTGTGTCTTTTGTAAATTTTTTTCTTGCTGTTGTATGTAAAATAAAAAGCATGTTCCCTCTACCGCGCATTCATATTTTTATTATTTCATTACTGACTTTATCTCGTCAGGAACTATTAATGCCCTTCTTTCTAGGCTCCGGTCCCAAGGTGGCATTCTTGAATGGTCAGAATTTTTTTTTAAATATTTTTAAAGAAATGCCAAAATATATAATAAATAGCTTTGCCAAATAAGTGACAAGCCATCATAGTCATTGGTATATTATTTATCTAGGTAAAGAGAAAATATTACCCTAGGTTTCAGGTTTGTCTCCCATACTGAACTTAGGTCATAATTTTATACAAGCGCGTTCCATGTTAAAATAAAAGGGATTAGGGCCTTTTGTATTTCTGATTTCAGTGTTTGCAGAAAAGTAACACATTCATGCTTGACGAAAGTTCTGAAGAAAACAAACCCGTTGACTTCATTATAAAGTTGTGTGCGCAATGTGCTGTAAACGGCTATTTTTGCGAAGGCCTAATTTTCGCGAATCGCCTACAATTCGCGAAAGATAAGCCCGGGAACAATTCAGTGAAAATTTAAACACATTGAAATCTACATTGAGATGCCACCATGTCGGGAAAATCAAAACCCGCGAAATATTCCAAAACTTCAGCTTTAACCTAAATCGCGAGATATTGAGCCCGCAAAAAATAAGTAGTTTACAGTAAATGGATTACCCTCGTATCATTAATATCGGAGAAATATATGAAACCACAGCAATATTTTATCGTCACTATTTAATTGAACAATCTAGCTATGACTACCATATTTTTCCCTTGAGTGGTAAAAAAAAAACTTTATTAGGGCCACTTTAAATACTTCGTTTTTCATTTCTTTTAATGATCAAAAAACAATTGCCAGCATAGAACCAGAGCCTTAAATAATGTCCCACAATCGTCGGATCAATAACACGCTAAAGCTAGTGGAACCGCTACAAAATTCTCTTAGCCTGTCACCGACTATAGATGATAAAATTTGCATGGAGAGTGTATTCTGCCTGGTTATCGTTACTTGACAATCGTGAGTTTTAGCATTTCGTAAACGAGTAAACTCGAGCACTGTTTGCGTTAGTGTTGCGTATTCCACACTGCGCGTGCGCGGAGCCCAAACTGCGTCTTGGATTGGCGCATGGTGACGACGCGCATGCGCAGCGTGGAGTACGTAACGTTAACGCAAAGGCACAGCACTTGCGTTTGCTCCTTTACGAAATACTAAAACTCTATTAAGATTGCGCATTAAAAACAAAAATTTGCTTTAGGGCCGTAAATGCCAGGTAGCTGCGTGCCCAACAGTTTTGGGGTGCATTGTTCTCGTTTTTTTTTTTTTTTTTGTCTTAAAAAAAAAATCGACGAATTTTTGTAGCACCTGATGTTTCTACGCGAGTTTTATGTAAACATTCCATGCTGCATATTTTTATCACTTTCGGGCACATCCATGCTTACCTCAATAGATTTTTATATTATTCCTTGTTAACAGTGCTAGACATAGAGGAGTCAGTTTCACCTTGCAAAACCGTGGCCGCAGCTTCGGTAGAAATTAAGGCCATTCAACTCTTGGGGATAAAGCTTCTACTAGAATATGACCGAGTTTTTGTGTGAAGGGTGGTGTTTTACTATAAATTATTTCCTTCATAAGCTTTGTGAACAAGCAGCGTTGTCTGAAAGCTTCGGAAAATGTAGTTACTGACACTTGTCACTTTGCTGCTGCACTCTAATGTGTCCCCACGTTATTTGCGCTTATTTTCTGATGTGTATGCAACTGCCGACCCTGAGCGGGTCTATTTCCCTATTGGGATGGAATCCATAGCTTGTTTATGCTAGTTGTAACTTGTATATACAATTTTTCAGTACCTCTTTTAAGTGCATCGTTTGATTTTCTCTTTACCTTGCAGTATAATGTGACTAAAAAATGTAAAGTGCCAAACACCTGGCAAGCATATAAATGTGATGGTAACAATCAGTAACAACGCTGCACTTCTGTGCCGCCGTGTTATGTTTTTTTTTTGTATAATTAGTTTTGCATCGCATTTATTCTCATTGAAGTCTCAGTGTGATTCGCATAAAGGAAGTTGTAGCTTAATTGTCCCGCGAGTCTCCGAGCATGCGCGCCCGTTGCAGAATGGTTACCTTGCTTGCCTGCCACACAAAGGGCTGGAGTTCGATTCCTGGGAGCGGACGTATCTTATTTCTGTGAATGTCGCGTTCTTGTAAATTCGAGAACACTGTTCTCGAATTCGCTTGTTCGAAGTTCGAATGTTCTACGCGTTGAACCTTCTCCGCCGATTGTTCCAAAAACCCACGCGTCTACAAAAGATGTGGCGAGCCGGAGTCAGTCTCGCCCCAGCGCTCGATACTGCTGTTACGCCGCAATCGACGCCTGCGACGCTAGCCTTTTCCTCTTTTGTTTTGGGCACAAGTTCGCCCGATTAATCGTTTAGTTTCATTTTGTCGCCTCATCAATTGTCCTTCATGAAACTTTGGTGAAGGTGCAGGTTACCGCATTTCATGTCCGTGAAACGTACCCCTCGGAAGGTAGGCCAGCCTCCGGAGTTCGGTCAACTATCGGAGCAGCCGAGGAAGAAGACTACTCCGACGATGAACACCATGTCGGAGCAAGACGGAACGCCACCGACGTTTATCGTCTACGTGCAGGCCCCACCACGGACGTCGGCCAATTTCCATGGGTATCTTTGTGTGGATGTGAACGACTGGTTGAGCCAGTACGTGCGCATCGCCCTGGTTCAACGAATGGGGGCCTGAGCAGAGCCTATGGAATGTCTACTTCGCTCTGGAAGGCACGGCACGCACTTCGTGCAAAAACAACGAAGCGTTGATTTCGTCGTGCGAAGATTTCCAGACCGAGCTTCGACGCACCTTTGCCAGCCAGCGGCGACGTCAGAGGGCCGAAGAACTTCTCCAAGCAAGGAGCCAAGGGCCGAACGACAGCGTCACAAGTTTCGTCGAAGACGTTTTCCGCCTCATGAACCGTGCCGACCCAAACGCTCCCGAAGAGAAAAAGCTGCGGATCCTGATCTCGGGAGTGAAATTAAACTTCTTCGGAGACCTTGTGCAAACCCGCCTATCACTGTCGCAGATTTTATCACTGAGGCCACAAACATCGAACGGGCCCTTCAAACATGCAAGTCTGGTAGTGGAAGCACTACCAGACTTCCCGGCTTCGCTGCCCTCTCGCCGTCCAGCTGCGACACCCCGGACATTTGCGAGATCATCAGGTACGTCGTCTGGGGGCAAATCAAGAAACTCCTATACCTGTGGGTCTATGCTGGGGAGCCAACTAATTCATGAAGATAATTCAATCGCGGGATTATTGGCCTTCCTCTTGGTCGCGTGAGGTGACGTCACAATGTACTTTTTTTCCCTATGAAGTTTGAGCTATGCTCCCGAAATGATTCAGTTGGCGGTGACGTCAAAATGTCGTCACGGTTAAGTTTGGCGGTGCTTATAACTTTGTAGTCCAGGGGCAGTCGAAGTCAAACTTCATCGGAAAGATGGCGATTCTTACGTTTGGGTCGTTGCTTTTAACTGCGCAAGCCGAGCGAGTTTTTTTAGAGCATCGTGACGGCTTTCGAAATGTCGGAGGTAAGGTTTGTAAGAGTATCGTCTTACCGAAGGGATAGATAGCTCTTCGACTGTGCGACAAGCTTCGGCACAAGCTTCAGTAGCGTAGCGTTAGGCCTCACGACATCACGGTAGAGCCGCAGGTGCTCGTTTCTTTCAAATTCTACGCCGCTCGCGGGTTTCAAGGCACAGTTGCGAGCGACGAAAATATCGCTGTTCACAAGTGCACGGTGAGCCATGTATTAGTGGACGTGACGGAAGCTATCGTTGACTGCCCCGGCGCAAGGTGGCTGCTGTTCCCGCACACGCGCGAGAAGGCCGAAGCAGAGAAGTTCTTCCGACGCTGCAAATTCAGCGGTGTGACTGGTAAGTACCTTTATACTTGTCAGAACGGTAGCGTGGTTAGATAGTGAAGGTCTGTTCACGCAGTATATGGTTTGGCTACGTATGATCGAGAGTCACCGGGATATACGAGCTTTGCCCGCGTCACGAATGTCCCGGTGACTCACAATAGTGAGCCGTCGTAATGTAGTTGATCGTGGTTCAACTAGGGTGTCTTTATGTCCGCTTTGCTCATATGAACGCATCCTAGGTCCAACGGAAATGTATGAACGAGCCTTAAGGATGGGGCATCTTTTTCAATGTGCTTGCTTGAGCTATCCCTATATTCTGCTCAACCTTGAGCTGAAGATAGAAGCGGCCGCCTTCAGCGCGAGCTCGTTGCATTTTGTCGTGCTTTGACTGGGCGTATACAATTGGGGAAAGCTTTTTCTGCCCATCTCAATCACCGCCCAGCCAGCAACATCATTACCAGTGTTTGTACAGCAATCTTTAACTTGACATGCGACAGGCTGTGTTGCACTAATACACTCGGCCACCAGTCGCTCCAAGATATAGACATACCGATATGACTGCACATGCTTCCTCTGAGAAAGGATGTCGCAACTAGAAATTAAGAAACCATTCATTGAAAGCCAACTGCATCAAATTTGCCCGTTTTCATGTTCGCACTCGCTATAGAATGGCACCAGCTCTATTGCTTGAACTTGTGGCTGTGCATTTATAAACTGAACCCTTATGACATCGCTGATGAGGGTGTCAAAACAATTTTTTGTGTTACAGGGTGAATCGATGGCACACATAAAAAAAACATCGTTCAACACGCTTCACTGTGGAGAGTTGCATAGGCATGCTGAAGAATAGATTCAGATGTTTGCAGAGGTACCAGCCTCTGCATTGTGATCCAGACAGGGCATGCAATATTGCTGCCGCTGTGCCATTTTGCACAATATGTGCTTATTTTGCATTATCCCGAAACATGCACCTGAGCCTTACCTGTCCTCAGAGTCAGACTCTGACTTCAACGATGGTGCGGAGTCTGACGACAGCGGTGCGCAGACCAGGACCGTGAGAGAAAGAGGCCAAGCGATGCGGCGGCAAAAAGTTGGAGGTGGCTGCCTCTACTCGTCGACCACGTCCCACCGGTCATCCCGCTCACCGAGGTCGTCCCGCTCACCGAGGTCGTCCCGCTCACCGAGGTCGTCCCGCTCACCGAGGTCGTCCCGCTCACCGAGGTCGTCCCGCTCACCGAGGTCGTCCCGCTCACCGAGGTCGTCCCGCTCACCGAGGTCGTCCCGCTCACCGAGGTCGTCCCGCTCACCGAGGTCGTCCCGCTCACCGAGGTCGTCCCGCTCACCCAGGTCGTCCCACTCACCCAGGTCGTCCCGCTCACCCAGGTCGTCCCACTCACCCAGGTCGTCCCGCTCACCCAGGTCGTCCCGCTCACCCAGGTCGTCCCGCTCACCCAGGTCGTCCCGCTCACCCAGGTCGTCCCGCTCACCCAGGTCGTCCCGCTCACCCAGGTCGTCCCGCTCACCGAGGTCGTCCCGCTCACCGAGGTCGTCCCGCTCACCGAGGTCGTCCCGCTCACCGAGGTCGTCCCGCTCACCGAGGTCGTCCCGCTCACCGAGGTCGTCCCGCTCACCGAGGTCGTCCCGCTCACCGAGGTCGTCCCGCTCACCGAGGTCGTCCCGCTCACCGAGGTCGTCCCGCTCACCGAGGTCGTCCCGCTCACCGAGGTCGTCCCGCTCGCCGAGGTCGTCCCGCTCGCCGAGGTCGTCCCGCTCGCCGAGGTCGTCCCGCTCGCCGAGGTCGTCCCGCTCGCCGAGGTCGTCCCGCTCACCGAGGTCGTCCCGCTCACCGAGGTCGTCCCGCTCACCGAGGTCGTCTCGCTCACCGAGGTCGTCTCGCTCACCGAGGTCGTCTCGCTCACCGAGGTCGTCTCGCTCACCGAGGTCGTCTCGCTCACCGAGGTCGTCTCGCTCACCGAGGTCGTCTCGCTCACCGAGGTCGTCTCGCTCACCGAGGTCGTCTCGCTCACCGAGGTCGTCCTTTGCAAGCGGTGTATAGTGTGACTCCTGCCATTCTTACCTCTTTAAGATAGTCGTACTATGTTGAAACGAACCTCCCCTCCACCTTTCCAATTATCTTTTGTTTCTTTTTCTCTGTTTCCTGCATGTCACGAACGTTCTTAATCTCCTGAACTGCAATCATAATGTATATTATATAGAACCTCACAAATAGAAGCTATGTAATGTTTTTGGTGTGTTTGTTTGCGCGCTAGATTCGTTTATATCTTTTAATGCTTGTAATACCTAAGCGATTCCGTAATTCTACTAGAATATATCTCTGCGCGTCAGTGGCAGAGTGGGCACCGCACCTGGTGGCGATGCAGGGGTCCCAGGTTCCAAATCCTGGGACCGGATGTAGCTTTTTATTACCCTGTAAAATCCCTCCGTCTAGGAAATTATTCAAGAATGTTGCTTTTGATTCCAGAACAGAATGCTCTGTCTGAATGCTCTAGTCGTGATGTTCCAGAAAAGCAAGGTTTTTTTTAGAGGCTCCAAGTTGCCGTATGCGGTCAGTCTATCGCCAGAACTCAAACCTGCTGTCACTCTTACGACTCGACGGCTGCGGCATACTGCTGTTCTTTATTGTTTTGGGATGAAGTTTGCCCCATTAAACATTTATTCCCCTCAGTTCATCTTTGCATCGTCCCCTTTATTTGCAACAATTATGTGTTTGTCGTAGTCTGTAGCGAGTAAGGATGTGGAGGGTCTGTTAGGCACCTTCACAGCAGAATAAATAAATTATTAAAGAAAGCAAAAACTGCCTACGATTTTTTAAATTTTTTTCTGGGGGTGTAGCTTCCGCACTCCCATCGGGTGCAGCAAAAGTGTTGTGAGGGAGGGTGCCTGCTGGGCACTCGAAGCCGCTGTTGCATCCACAGACTGCAGAGAAAGGGTGAGAAAAAGTATATTGGTAACAAAATATATCCTGAACACCAACCTGTTCTCAGTTCGGGCGACTAAAGCATTGGCTGGGGTGTTATACATTGCCAGTGTTGCGAAGAGCTTGGAACACTCTTCGAGTAGCATTCCTAGTTCATTTCAATAAGTTGTACTTCGCTTGAAGCAAATCACAGCAGCATGTGGTTGCACTTTCCTATACCTGTTAATTGGGGAGCTTCCATACAAGCTCCAAACTCTTCCACACTGGCCAAACTGTGCAGATGTTGCGTGGCCCAGAGTGACGTCCGAAACTAGGCGGAGTACATTTTGCATAGTACAAGGCCATAGTACAAGGCCTATCGGGAAAAGGCTTGTGAAGTGCTGCATTGGGAATAACGTGGACATGTTTCCAGAGAACGCCTGTAGTTTATGAGATTATTGACACATTCCAGGCATTGCTCAAACCAGCATATTTGTGCTGTGGATTTCCGAATACTGCACACAACCCACGAGATAGGACTGACTCTCGGCAATCTGCATCAAGCTAGATATCACTTTGCAGTAAATAGGCAAGAGCTTGTATTACGAAGTTGTCTGTTCCCAAAGTTCTCTGTGAGCTAGCATGCAGTGCTTAAAACCTAGGCCTATTTTCAGAGATAGCAGATCCTGCTCACAGTTTTGTTGTTCACCTGAAGAAATGAAAGAGCTCGAGTATGCTCGTTAAAACACGAACAAAACCACAATACTATGAAATAGCACAACTGGACTTCTTCGAATCTAGATTCAGGCATTTGTTGACAGATTATGTCGCCTAATTTTTGTTTTGCCTAATAAAGTTGTCAAATATAATTACCTAAGAATATGCAAGGATGAACAACCTTGGCTTAAGAGCATTAGTTAATACCTCATAATGCTACTTTTGTTTTCACAGCTTTCAAAACGGAATCCATACTTATGCGAGTCCACGTATATATGTATGCTTCGGCTGCACTTCTCTACAGCACCAGTATCGCGTTGATGTGCTGCCAGGAGGTGTTGCTGGATGGTCAGCTGCTGCTGCTGGGTCGTCAGCACACCCTGCTGTGTGGCCAACATTTCCCCCGGCCCCTGAACTGTTAGTTGCTCCTGTTGCTTTGCCAGGAGGTCCCGGGCCGTACACTCATGGCCAGACCGGGGCCTGACGTTCCAGGGAGGCAGAGCACCTGATGACACCATAAAGCACATAGTTAATGGTATACCTAATGGGTGGGTGGATGGGCTTTTGCCAAGCACGCAGTCGAGAATTTTTTTATTTTTTTGAGGGGGGGGGGGGGGGGGGGAGGGGGGAGGGGGGGCAGCGAAGTTTGCTGGGCCTTGTCCTTGGATACGACCCTGATATTAGCTATACCCTTTGTGATGGGCAGCAGCTTGCACTGCCACCAGCATGCTAAGCCTTGCTCTGTTATTGAATGTATCTTATTTTTTCCACACCTACCACGTGGTGGTCGTGGAGAAGCCGCCCGTGTAGAGGCTGATGGTGAATTCAGGTTGGCCGTGGGCGAACCTGGGCCGGCATCTGGCACAGCCGTTGAGGGAGCATGTAAAAGTCGACGAAACCTGAGTCTACACATACAAAAGCACGGCCACCTTTCCGGATAAGGATTTATTGCTGCAGCCGAGGCTGTTGCAGTATGGCAGTGTGAGTACCTCATACCTAATACAACTCGTGGTTTCTTTACAATTCAGACATCAGCAGTGGTGTATGTGTGATCTACAACAGCGGCACCATGGTAAGGGGCACGTGTAAAGGGTACAGCAGCACACTCGCACTAGTTCATTGCATACATTTGTGCACAATGAGCTAAATACCGCATGCTGTATGAGCTAACATTGCGTATGCGAGTACTTACCGCCGCTGCAGCCGAGGTATCCGAAGGCGCGGTGGGCGCGGGACGAGGTGGGGGTGCATTGCAACACGCGCGCCTTCCACCGCACCCTCGCGAGGAATCTGTTCCCACGAGGGTCAGGATCTTCTCTTCTGTTCTGAGCGGCGGCATTTTGTTGGCACCCCCACCGGTCTGTCGCGCAGAAGTGTTCGCCTCCCGATCTCTGCCCCTTGCCGCATACACTCGCCAGTTCCAGAAGCCCTTCCACTCGATCCGGGTTTTCACGGCCCGGCTTCGGGCTTTCAAGTTGCTCACAACAACGTCCCACAGGGCTCATCGCTCGTCCTGAGTCGGAGGACTATCTGTGGCAGCCCTACAAAGGCTGGGTTCGCCGACAGATGGTTCAGATAGTTCCCCAACATCTCAAACTGACGAGGAGAGACACGAGGGCCGAGGGTACGCGATTTCTTTGTTTGGCCGGCCATGACTACGCTATGGTGGCTAACTACACTACAGTTGACTACGCCGTCCGTAATGTTGCTAGAACAACTCAGTCGGGAAAGTGTCACAGAGCCCGCTCTGAAAAAGTGGCACCGATCCGTACTTGAGTGCCAAGCTAATGGCGATCGCAACGCTGCCATTTCTCCCGCAGCGGCCACTCCCGGAACCGCACGACAGCTTACATTGTTTCGGGAGTATTGCATTCGATCACGCCCACTGTGGTTTATATTTTGGCTTTAATCAGCCATTTTAACGCTGAAACATAGTCGCGACTCCAGCAAAACGGACGCCACCAAGCGGGAAAACCGTGAACCAGCCGGAACAGGTCGTTTTCCGCCTCTCCGCGTCTCTGGTGGCTTTCGCGGACACGTTGTCGGCGCGTTGGCGAACAATTTAATTTGACGAAGGTCCGAAAATTTCTTAAGTTTGCCTGAGTGTTCATTAGTGTGGTGAAGCCTCAGTTGATTGTTTCCTTCCATCACGCATTTGAAAGCCGGTTTACTCCATAACACACGGTCGCGTGCTTTCGATTTCTTGGATGCGGAAGAATGACGGAAAAAAAAACGTTTTGATTTCTTGTCTGTCTCGAATCACATTCAAAGTGACGACTATTTGTTAACTGATAAGTGTTTTCTTTACAAGGATGTCGAAAAGTGAACTGAGGACGACAGACGAAGTGTTTCATTGGAGGGAACACCAATGTTGCAGTCAAGTGAATGGGAAGGTTCGATAGCTGTTTTTTTTTAGTTTGGTTGTGTTAGATTAGCTTCAAGGTTGAGCCGGCCACGCCGGTCGGTGCGTTGGCTATTCATCTTGGCTGCTTTTTCGCCGAAAAAGCCTATGAACCACACCAAAGGAGTTGGGCTGATTTCGCAATTACTTGATTCCGAAAACTTGCTCGCTGTATACGATTAATGAGGGAAATTGTCTGCTTTCACAAGGTGGGGGACGCGTCTCACAAAGTTAGAAACTGTCACGACATTATGATCTACCGTCGAAGCCAGCAGCAATATACGTCTACATTGCTCAGGATGACCGGCCACAAAAAATACTAATTTTCTCCATTCAGAATTCAAAGTCAAGTTCAATGCAGAGAGGTTCTGCGTGAATCTCCGATGAAGACTCTCTTCAGTTTGTCCTCATTCGTCTCCCTGCTACATATTAGAACCATTTGGCTGAGTTTACGTAGTATCTCGGTCTGTATTCAGCAGTTCACTTAATAGCTAGTCAACTAAGCTCATATTTCAACCCGAAGAATATACTAATATCGCTTTAGTGGGACCCCCCCCCCCCCCCCCATAGTACACAATATAATACATAACCCGTATATTCGTCAAAATGACTTCTCGATTGTTACTAAAACCTGAATTGAAATACGAGTATCAACTGCTTAGTGGGGCGCCAGCGGGTTAACATGCTCCTTGGCTCAAGAAGCGCTTGCTTAATTTTTGTAATTTTCCTGCAGCCTGTGTTGTTGACCGAGCAGACGACTGGAGCTGTTTCT